CAAATGTGCATCAAATCAATTGGTCGAAATTGTTCATTCAAATATATTTTTTAAAGCAAACAATTTACCGAATTTCTGTTGCCAATTTTTAATCTCTTTCCATAATTTGGACTGTGAATTTGATACGATATTCATCAGCATTTTTCTCTATCCAAATTTCTAACCACACGAAGTAGTTCCACGAAAAACAAACTTGTCAAAACCTAACGTTTTCTTAACAATTTCTTCGGGCCGTTTTTGGAATGTGGTTTTTCATTTTTGATTTATCCCAAGAAACATGTGAATTATACGCATTGAAACAAAGTACAATCCCTTAGAAGCGAAGAAAAAAAAATGTAAAACAGAGCAGCGAATGCGAAATAAAAATACAGCGAGCGATAAACGATTGCATTGACACAGCTTATACGTTTATACAAATAAATTGCATTAAATGCTCTAGCTTACACAGACGCTTTTTCTCTCTGTCTATTCTCTCGCTGTGCATTAATGCAGAAGGCACGGATAGCCATGTTTCGCGCACCAACGCAGTCAATGTAGAAAATATAGCATGAATGCAAAATGGCAAATTCAACGAGGTAAAAAAAGAGTGCGGAGATACCTGCACAAATTTAATGAATTCAACTTTCAGCGTTTTCAATAAAAGGTGAACACACAAACAGGCGATCGCGTCAACGAAAAGATCGCAGCAAGGAAATGCATAGTTTCAAAACTTATAGCATTTATGAAAGTGTGCGCGTGTAAAAGTTTTTACCCGTCGAATCAGGGTGTCTTTTTTTTCATTATGTTCTTGGGAGTATCGTTTTTTCTGCACTTCAACCTCTCGTTGATGCAATTTCGCTTGGTTTGTTCATGCTGTTACCATTTCTCCAATGTGTACAGTACATTCGTAATTAAATGAAAACGAAAGAAGAAAAAAACAAATCGCGCTAGCAAACTGCAGCACTGAGCATATTAATTTGAGTATTCAATTTACCCACCTCCTTTCCATATTGTTCACCTGATTCTAATCTCATGGAAAATCTTTGGTTTGAATATTTATTAAAACCCGTAAAAGATAAATGAGTATTGATACAATAACAAATTTCATAACACGGAACGGAAATTCGCGCCGTGGGAATGAGGTGCGGTGCGGTGCGGTGCATATGAAAATAAATGAAATCGCGTATATGGCAAATTATAAAAAATTCCAAAAACTAATAAATTTTCGTCCCGAAGATTTTGGATTTGTTTTTTTTTTCATTTATTCTACTTGAACAGTGCAAAACGTATCTTTTTCCACTTGGTCGTAAACCTTTCCCTTCTTTTTCTCTCATTCATTTTATGCCGTTGTTGCAGTTGTGCCGATTCGAAGACCACTTTTTCACTTGCATTTACGATTCGGAAAAAAAAAACGTAAAGTGAAACAAACAAAAAACTTCCAACCGAATGAAAACTACAGCAATGGAAGGGAAAAAATGAGCCAAACACCAGAGAATCGTAGATGACGACAATAATAACAGTGAACACAAAATTCGGAAATGAAAATAATTCTTGGGAAATATGTAATTTTTTTTTTCATCCAGCGAACGCTCCACACGGGAGGGAAAGCATATTTGTTGCTCGCCTGTGAAAGGATGGTACATGAAACCAGAACGATCGGATTTACCTATTCGCATTTCTTTTAAAAAAAACGACAGAACGGAGTGCAGAAAAAAAATAAACGCGGCATACGCGCGCATACACATAGCGAGACTTGTGTTTTTGTACAGTGGGAAAAACAATCGCAGCTTAATCAAATTCAGTAGTTTGATTGTTGCTTTTAATTTGGTTTGTGCAGTTTGTTCTATGATTTCTTTTGTTAATTCTCTTTGTTTTCAACAAGCCAGAAGTTATTTGAAGCGCACATTAAGTGGTTCCGTTTTTCAATTTTGTAAATCGCATTGTGTGTGTATTTTACCATCATCATATGCTTTCATACATCAATGTTTCGCACTGACATTGGCTATGATGCTTGAACAACTATACAATAACCTGTGCTTTCTGCCCGGCATATTTATTTAACAACTAGTTACATAAAACAGTCGTATTAATATTCTGCACTTTTTTCTTCTCTTCTATGCTATTTTGTGCATTTGTTCGTGGTTCGACTTTTGAAAATGAACACAAAACGATTACCACTTCAAAAATTATAAATTCCTTTATTTTAATTGCGTTTTTTTCTGTGACGCAATATTCATGTTTGCTCGTTTAGAATCATAAAGTTGCCTCTTATTATAATTTAATGTTACCGCATGCCGAAGCCCATGCAAGCAAGCCACTGAATATGTAAATTATTCAAAAATTTATTGAATGGAGAAGATTTCAAAATTGAATTGAAACTTTTCGAGGAATTTTGTAGTAGCGAAGACGAACATTTATCTTTCTTTATATCTTGATACGATAATTTCGATTTCAACATGAAAAAGAAAAAAAAATCGGATACCGAAAGATGTATCAAAACAGAAGAACTCTAAGCTCTAAACCAATTTACAATTTCCTGCTTTTACCATTATTTTTGCTCCGATTCGCAGATTCTGCTCCAATACATTTTGAATTTGGCTGTATGTGAGTGGAACAAGAGATGCGAAGCAGCAGGCATTCGCTTACACTCTTGCTCTTGATATTTCGGATGCATATATAATTTCAATTTGTTAACAAATAAATTCACCAATGAACACGAAGAATGCAAAAACAACAACAACAGCAAAACAAATATACATATGTATATAAGACATAATATTCGCTGAAAAAATGATAAACTTTCCTATGCAAATCTGTAGATGCTTAACTCACTTGTATACACATACAAACACACATATTATATTGTTGCCTTAAATGGCAGCGTGCGCACACAAAAAAATAATGGTAGCAATTACAATAGAACTCGGCAATTTTATATATTTGATAGAAAATCGTTGTGATTTGCGGGAACATGCTATTTCCGATCATTTTGACTAACCGCAATATGTGAAAAATATCATAAAATTGCGTTGTCTATCATTTCAATCGGATGGCAATATGTATTTCTTCTATGGCATCTTCGGAGATTTAAATTTGATATGATCGAGTATTGTACTTGATTTCGACCCATGGCCGGTGCCCATGCAGTTTTTCTGTGAATCCAATTGAACGATGATTTCACCAATTTTACTACGAACGATGATGTGGAGCAATTTTATTCAAGATATAGCCGCGAAAATAAACCGATCGATTTGCGATTTGATATTATTTTGCCGAAAATAATAAAACATTTTCCAATTAGCATATTATTGTAATGACATACAAGGCTTTTCTTGATCAAACAATTGCATATTGGTCGCAATTTTTCGAAAAAACCGTGATCCACACAGAGTCGTTTTTGTTAAATATTATGAGTGAATCGCAGTGAGTTTCAGTCAAATGTGTGCAAAAAGACCGAACTCATGTTTGAATGATACAATTATTTCTTTGTGTGTGCTTAGTCAAAAAATAATTTAGAGAGGGTAGAGTTGAATGCAAAAGTTGAAAGAGACAAAATGAACGGGGGAGAGCAAGGAAAATGGAAAAGGAAATAAAAAGCAGCCCAGAACGTAGGCATATTAAGATGGGGCTTACTGGTTTGCTTTCGTTTTATCTCACATAAAGTTATTCTTTGTGCATGTAAATATAGTACATATCTTTGCAAAAATTATGTGTAGCAGCACCACGTATATCGGTGTCTATATACAGACGGCGAAAAAGAGCATAATGGCACTCGTAGAACCCTCTCCCCCAGCATACACAGTATACACACACACAAACACACACCTACTCGTATTCACTCAAATACAGGCGCACTGCAATGGTTCACTATATCAGCATTCTGTGCTGTATGTATGTATGGATGAATCGCAGATTTCGCATACATTGCACGCGTTCAACGTTTTCCAAGCGCTCAGCTCATTCTCAAAATAATATCAATTCAGAGCAATGGAGCAATATGGATTGAGTGAGCATGGTGAACACACAGAATACTGAATAGAGAGACGATGAACATAGTTGAACACGGCATAAACGTACAACGCGCATCGAAAAGTCACAAATGAAACAATTTTCATACTCGTCCTGTTTCGTCGCGTCTTTCAATACTGTAAATGCACAGCGTCTCTTTCGCTCTCTCTGTGTCGATTTCGTTTTTTTTCACATTTGGCTTTTTCTTGTTTTTATCATGTGACACGTTGAAGTTATTTTCAGCTAACTATACTAGCTGCAGCACGGCAGCAACACATATCCAATATGCAACCGAACATAGACTCTTCTTCGTTTTACTTTTTCTAGTTGTTGTTGCTGCTGCTCCTTCACTTCTTTTCAAAATCAAATATTAAAATTCTAAAGCGTGTACAATGTACACACATCTATCCCTTTCTCTCTCTCTCTCTCTATTCTATTCTCATTTTAATTTTCTGGATACTATCATCGCTCGCGTAAACACGCATTTTGAAACATCCACAACTTCACCAGTGCCTAACCTTTGATTATCATTTATTACTAGCGACACGTAGGCAAGTGGAATTCAAACTGCATTACAAGACTTTATCGCATTTTAAGAATATCATTTCGAGGGGAATGAATATATGGCACAGAAATTGAACGAACTCTAGCTGTTTTTACAACCGTTTTCACTTTTTTTTCTACATTAGACATCATTTTCATCATTTTTTCCGATCAACATTTCACAAATTGAGCTGCTAAAATACGATATTGATATGTACAGCGATAAAATCGAATAGATTTACAAAAGTTCTCAGACGATGGAAAGACGATTCGCAGACACAGTGTGTGAGTGAGTGCCGTATATATGGGGGATTCTATGAGCTTCCCTTTTGAGTATAAATATTCGTATTCCACTATATCTGCATACATTCAACACATTCACTCGACAGAGCAATAGTAATAAAATCCACATCGACAAATATCACCATAGCGATTAAAATTTATAATATGAACACGTAATTGCTAAATACCTCTTCCGATCTGGATGCTGTTGCTGTTGCTGTAGCTTGACGCTTCTTTCAACTGCTATTCTATCTGCTACTATTGGATGCCTTGTTTCGGATCCAATGTTTGGCTTCTTTCGCTGTTTACTTTTTGCAATTTTCTCTGGCCAATTCTCGTTCAGGTTTTATTCTCCTGCTTTCGTTTGGTTTCTTAGGGTTAGTGTCGTTTTTCCTCTTAGATGTACCGCTTTTTTTATCTCTTGGTTTCGTTTCGGTTTTCGATTTCGAATTTCTCGTTGATTTTTCGTATTTATGCGAGTTGTTTTTTCACCTTTTTTTCCACGTTCGACAATGTTTGTTGCTTTTTCCCTTCGTTTCTCTGATTCTCTACTCTTTTTACTAACAGTTTGGTTTTTTTAAATGTTTTTTTTTTGTTCTATAGTTGAGAATCCAAGTTTGATGTGTTTGCAGATTCACGACACAAGAAATGAAAGCGTATGCCAAATTTAGCCGAAATTCAATTCGAATTGTGCCGCCTTCTTTTTTTTCTTGCTTCGGTGTGCTCAAATAGTATACGTATACGTTGGAAAGGAACTGGATGTGTGTTTATTTATTCTTCGCTTTTTTTCTCCAAACGGTTGTCGGTTTCTTGTGCAAAGCTTTCCCGCAATTCAATACTGCTCATTCCATGGAAATCGAACCGTTTCTTTTTTTCTTCTTTTCTCCGTCCAATTTCCTCTTCGAATTCGCTCTGTTCTTTCGTTCAATCCGTTCGACTTTTTTTCGATACACAACACACGATCGTTGTGTTTTGATGTAACTACCAACCGAATGTGTCCAGTTTAGTATTTGAAGTGAAATTTGTGTGCAGCATCATGCACTCTCTAAACTTTAGTTAGATGCTCGTATGCTATATCTCTCACTATCTCTCTGCCTCTCAACCAATGTGTGTGAGTATGTTTGTAGAGCGTAGCAGTTTCGTTAGATTTTCCGAAGACGATGGCTCTTTGTCTAACTCGATGTAATCGAATTGGTGCGAGTCCAAAAAAGATATTTTCCGTATTTCTTTGATTCACTTTAATATATCTCAGTTCTCGTGCCGCTGTTGCCGCTGACCTCTTCACAACTCGCTTGCCTCCTCCACGTTTTTCTATGATATTCAGCTTTTGATATTTGAGCTATTGCCGACCTTATAACTTTTTTCTCCTCGCTTTTTTTTATTATTTTAATACCATTCGTTCTCTATTTTTTCGGCTTTCTCTCACACTCTCTGCTTTTTTTCGTTAATGCGAATGAATTTTTCCCATTCGGAAGTTCGAATAAGCGAGATAGACTGAGATGAATGAGTCGACTTTTTGCCGTTCAACTGCTACTGTTGTTAATATTATTTTTTATTATTCCAGCTTTATGTACTAATTCAATTGATGAATCCTTCAAAAGGATCGCAGTTTTTTTACGCTACACTAATTTTTTGTTATATTATCGTTGCTCGCTATTAATGGTTTCTACTTCACTCGATAAAGAGATTGCATAGAAAAGTTGTGGTTCTCGGTGATTTTGCTTTCTCTATCTCTCTCTCTCTCTCTCTCTCTCTCTCTCCTTCTCCCTTTCACACTCTTTCCCTCGTTTTCTGTTGCTTTGTTGCAGTGTATGTGTGTATACTGTTATTGTTGTTTCTAGGGATGTTGTTGGGACGATATGCGTGTTATTATTCGCGGCACAGATACTTCGTTCCTCTAATGCAATCACTTATTTGGCGTAAACAAGCACGAAAAACGGATACTAAAATCGCGCCAGAGATTCGATGTGTGAGGAGCGGAACAAAAAATAATGCGAAAAATCGCACGATAAACGGCACAACAAAACGAGATTCACATTCAATTATCACAAAACCTACGCCTTCACATTGCAAAATGGTCTCTTTTTGTCTTTTTGGATTGGGCTCTTGCTCTCCCTCTCTCTCTCTCTTTTCCGCACGCGCACACACAATTAAAGAGCTTGAGCGGTCCTGTGTTTCTATTTCACGCAGTGATTTGATTTGATTTTTATTCTTTTTTTCTGCAATTTTACTCTAGTTACTGTTCTGTTTAGCTGCTGGTGGAGCTTTTCTCTTCTCACGCTCTCGTTCTTTTGGTTTTTTTTTGTGTTCGTTTGTTCGTTGGTACGTACTTTATTTTGTATTTTGGTTAAATCGCCCCGCTTGGATTGTACGCGATTATATTTTATATATTAGTGGTGGGTGGCACAGCAAGAGCATTTACCGTATCAACAAGCAGAAACGAAACCACTTTTGAATTGACTGGCATAAGTAGCGAGTGCCAGTCCAACATGTACCGACTGAGCGGAATGAAATATAAATTATAATAATAATAAAAAGTAAATGACAAGAGATTGAATCAGGAGCACAAGAATGGCGAAAGACTCAACGAAAAATGTTGAATATGTTTATATTTATATACACGAGAATGTAAAAAAGAACGAAATATTTTATTCACTGGAATTCATTCGCTGCAAAATGGGGTTTTGTTTGCTCTTTTCCGTTACACTTCCTTTTTCTTTGTACAAACGTTGTCAAATTTTTTCTTTTCTATTTCTGTTTGCGTTTCTATATTTGATGGGCTCAGATGTAAGGCCGATGATGATGTTTAAGTTTTAGAGAAATTCCCGAATATGTTTTATGATTTCTGTACTATTTTTACACTAAATTTATGCCACTTTTATAGCGGGAATTTGTATCAAATAGCAGCGAATCACAAATTATCAAATATGCACGAGGACCCGAATGTGCGCGCATACAATGCGACTTAGCGGTAGCGTAACGGGAATGTGTAACTCACAATAATATTTAGTATGATGTCGAGCTGTCAAAGCATTCAGTGATAGTTATAGCAGCAGCGGTAAATGAATTGCATACCCGAATCAAATTCACAAAGTGCGTTGATGTTGTAAATGGTCAATACATAACTGTTGTGCTTGCAATTACAAAGGACGGGCCGCCTTTGACGTTAAGTGTGTTTGAATGCGTCTTTTTTATATTTTTTCTCGTTTCCTTCCTTTTTAGTCCTGTGCTAGCTCCACTCATCCACTCATACGCGCTCGGCTCCAATAATTAGCGCTTTGGACTTTGGCACCGATACTAGAATCACAAACTTTTTGGGCCGAGTTGAAAAGCACTCCAGTTTATGCTCGCCTGTTCTCGCTGTGTGATTAGCAACAATAAATATTTGCCAAATATGAGTATGTGTGCCACACAAAGTGGAACAACTAGCGGAAAGATGAATGTATAGACGAATTAGTTGCTGTTTACACACGAATGCACAGGCGGAGAATGTTGCAGAAATGAAAAAGTTTTTGTTCTTGCCGGAATCAAATGGCACAGCACGATATAAATGTCCGTACACACGATCGTTCGTCCTATTTCGGGTGTTTGTCGTGTTTACTTTAATTCACACACACACACACATTGTCACACAAAATCTGGTTTCAAGAAAATTGTCACGATTCTAAAACAATGCCACCAAACCAAGTCAAATAGCCAATTACGTAGTTTCAGCAGATTCGAAATGCTTGAGGATCTGGAAATTTCTTGCAATTTGTTATATGAACAATTTATGTATGGCTTTTGCTTTGGCCACTGTCTCTCTCACTCTCTCTCTCTCTCTCTCTCATACATGCACTGTGCACTGGTATTTAATTATGCTGTCACACTATCAAGTCACTATCCCTTGACACTTGTTTTGGTTTTACTTATTAAAATTTCGTACCAAACGAATGCCGTCCAAATATTGCGTATTCTGTAGCCGTTACCTTCTCTCTCTCTCTCGCTCTCTCTCTATCTCTCTTTCACTTTGTGTGTTTACATCGTATGTGGGAATACATAGTCGCACTGCATTCGACCATCACTTGTTCAGTATGTGTGTATGTTGCATTAATTGTTATTTGTTTTCACTTGAGTTTTTCCTTCTGCCTATTTTTGTCCTCTACTTTTTCGTTCTACACTTTTCGTGTCCGATTCGTATTTAGATATTATTAGCTTGTTTTCACTCAGCTTTGCATTTTTCTCGATCGTTGCATGTTGTATACAGCATTTCGCTTGATGCTCAAGTCCATCTTTCGGTATCTATGACTTGTTATTTGCTTCTCTCTCTCTCTCTCTCTCTCTCTCTCTCTCTCTCTCTCTCTCT